GTACATTTTATTTCGACTCAGCCAATTCATTCTAAAATTTGACATTATTTTGTCGTAATCTAAAGCGTTAGTTTTAAATATATCGTTCCTATTCCTAGATGTGAAATATGATTTACTATATTTAAACTAGGCCTTATTTACAGTCAACTGTACGTGTTTATGATTATTCTGCATTGTCACGAGATAATGTCGTAGTCAAGGGCCAGTCGTACCTGAGATTTTTGCTATCATTTTCTACTTTAATTTGGTTTTCTTCGTTTTGTGTTATTCGTTTTCATTTATACGTTCTGAGTTTTATTGAATGAATGAATAAATTTCGAAAATTATGAGAAAATTATTTGTGCTATAGGTAACCTAGAACAGAATGGTAGTCCTCTCACGGCTAGCCTCACCCCTTATATCATCAAAGGTGGGTGCTTTTAACCTTGTAGGTTTTGAAAATGTTTTGCATTTAGGTGCGACCCATAATTCTTGTACAAAACAATTTCTCAACTTCTTCAATAGTAAATGTGAAAATCTATGCTAGCGCTAAGGAAGCCGTTCAAGATATTCCGGACAATTCAAAGCTGCTTGTAGGAGGTGAAATTTCCAAACTATGAATTTTGTATGCAGTGTATTGTAATGCCAATACAGTCCATGTTTATAGGTTTCGGGTTATGTGGTATCCCCGAAAATTTGATCAATGCTTTGAGCGAAACAGGCCAGAAAGGTCTGACCTGTGTCTCTAACAATGCTGGAGTAGATGACTGGGGCCTAGGAATTCTTTTAAAAACACGACAGGTAAAAATACGAGCAAACGATTTTTCACACAAATTTTGAAATAAAAAAAGCCGCTTATTTCAAAGGAAAAAAATGTGAATCTTTTTGATGCATCTTTTTGAGAAGTTTTTTATTGAAATTTTTTAGATAAAAAAGATGATCTCTTCTTATGTTGGAGAAAATGCTGAGTTTGCACGACAATATCTATCTGGAGAGCTTGAGCTTGAATTTACACCTCAGGTAACTTTTACATCTCGACTCTTTTGAATTGATGCTCATTTCTATGGTTAGAATTTGCATGCTACAGTCATTAAGTAAGACGAAAAAATGTTTTAAAGATAAGGTACTTATCATATTCATAGCCCAAGCTGATCAGGGTTCTCTGACAAGTTCTTGGTTTATCAGGTGATCAAATGATACTTTAGGGAACGTTGGCTGAGCGAATTCGAGCAGCTGGAGCGGGAATTCCAGCCTTCTACACGCCC